GGATAGCACTTTAGCTTTATACTTGGGGCTCATTTTAAACAGTGAAATCACCAACCAAGAGCACAAAAATATGAAAAACGTGACACCATACTACAAAAAGGAACCTTTTTATAGTATGAAAGCTGAAACAAGAAGGCCAAGCATTGCCTAGTTTGACCTTAGTTGGGAATGTGCATGTCAGGCAACTCAAAATTTTTACCAATCTGTACATTCACATGTCCATGATTGACCAAAGAAGTGTTGCAAATATTGATTTTTTGAGTTACAAATATATTTTGATGAGTAGGCAAATTTGCACATATGGAATCCATGAATAATGAGGATTGACCCTGTGTGTGTGTGTGTGTATGTATGTGTGTGTACATAGTGGCTTTTGTTTTCCATTTTGTTTAATTTTATAAGAATGAAATAATTTTGAAAGTACTGTTATAATTTGCTCCTTTCACCTAACATCCTAATCATTCATTCAACAAGTATTTATGTCTTGCCCACTGTATATAGACTCTGGAGATTCTATAGCAAACAAAATTGACAAAGTGTCTGCCTTAGGGAGCTTACATTCTAATAGAGAAGGTAGATAGTAAGATCTGGTAGTGTTAAGTACAACAACAACAAAATAAAGCAAGGTAAGGAGATAGGGTGGCAAGTGGTCATTTTAGTTTAAAAAAATTATTTTTTCATTGAAGTATAGCCGAAACAGGCAGTAATTTTAGATGAAGGGAAGTCCCTTTGAGGAGGGTAACATTTAATAGAGACCTGAAGGAAATGAAGGTTCAGACTATACACAGAGCTAGGGAATAGACAGTCAGTGGAGAGAGATTAGCAAGTGAAGAAGACTTGAGATGGGAAGTTGCTTGGAATCTTTGAAAAATGGAGGGCAAAGAGCAGTAAAGATGAAATTATTAAGAGAAGTTGAAGCTGGATCATAAGATAAGGAATCTAGATTTTATTCAGAAGGTATTGGGAAGACATTGGAGTGTTTTATATGCATAATGACATGAGTTTATTAAAAGAAGATCACCAACAATAATCTTATTAAAGATTATTCTGGTTGCTGTGTGGAGTGGCTGACTGTAATGGAAGCAAGGAGACCGAATAGAAGGCTATTGTAGTATTATTCTAGGCAGTAGAGAGGGTGGCTTTGTCTAGGATGGAGTGGAGGTGGTGAGAGGGGATATGTTTTGATAGTAGCACCTGTAAGATTTGCTGATGGATTGGTGAGCTCTTAGGGAAGGAAGGAAGTCAAGCATGGCTCCAACTTTGGCCAGAACAAGTGAGTGAATGGTAGTACTATTTACTAAGATAGGGAAGAGTGTAGAGGAGCTGACTGGGGTGTATTTGGTGAGAGTTAAGTTTTTTTCTTTTGGACATGTTAGGTTTGAGACAACCAAGACAACCAAGTGGTAATGTTCAGTAGGAAGTTTAATGTACAAGTCTGGACCTCAGGGGAAGAGAAGGGATCTGGAGTTAAAGGGTATGATGTTTATGTGTTCATGTCAGTAAATATTCATCTACAACATAATTTTTTCATGACTGAGTCATGCTCCTGTCAGCAAGCTCTTTTGTTCAACTATAGACCCCAACAGTTAAAACCAGAAATAGATAAGCCCACTTAATTCATGTCCTAACTAAAACCCATTGTGTTTATTTCTTATGGCACTTTCTTAATGCATTGAAGAGATGTTTGCAATGACCAGAACATGCCAACCACCAGACCAGAAAAGCCCTGATAGCAACAGAATGCCTAGAAGACCACACACCCCACCACATCCCCTTCCCTGCCCATGATCACCACTGAACACATACTGACCCCCACCCATAATCACGTGCTCTCTGCCTGCTCTCTCGTGCTGCCTCCCTGAACCTCTCCCTGTAAAACTCTAGGTATCTATCTTGTTGGCAGAGAAGTCGGTTGGTAAGGCTTGAGGCTGCCACCTCCCCCACCTGCCAGCACTTGAAGTAAATCTCTCCCTTTCTCTTTTCCAAACCCTCATCTCTTGAGTTACTGACTTCTCTTGGAATGAGTTTTTCCAAGTTTGTTCGGCAACAGTATTGGGAAACCCATCCAGGAGCTGTGCTTTCGATTTGTTCAACCTGCTTGGGATTCCTCAGGATGGAACATTTGGCTACAGCAGCACTCTAGGCCTCACTTGTTTATTCCCTGAGTTAGTGGCTATGATAGATCATTCTGTAACATTCCATTGTATTTATACGTGCTGTATTTTGTGATGAATAATTTTGTAAATCCATATTTTAAACTAATCCCTGTAGGGTATTTGCAATGTAGTTTTGACATTAATGAGAATTAGCTCAATTTGCACAAATTAAAGGCATTGTCCCTCACAAGACTTTCTGCATTTGAGATGCCAACCACAAGTTCAGGAGTCTCTAGGCCGTCTGTATTTCTGACCAAATTCAGGAGTTCTGAGCCCCTCGGGTTTGGTAATTCACTAGAACAACTCATAGAACTCAGGAAAGTGCTATAATTATGATTACAGTTTTATTATAGCAAAAGTTTACAAATTTGAACCAGCAAAAGGGAGAGATGTATAGAGCAAGGTCTGGGAGGTTCCTAAAAGCAAAGCTTCTGTGTCCTCAGGATGTGTCACCCTCCCAGCATATCAATGTGTATTATCAACCAGAGAAGATCACCACCTCTGTGTTCAGAGTTTTTACTAGGGTTTCATTATGTAGACAGGGGTGATTGAATCATTGGCCATATGATTGAACTCTGTCTTCAGCCTCTTTCTATATTCCCCAGAGGTCAGGCTAATATCATGTGGCTCAGTGCACCAATCCTTTAATCACATGGTTGGTCTTTCTAGCATGGGCAGCCCCCATTTTGAAACTAGGGGCCCAATGTCATTCACTTGGTTAGCATAAACCCAGTGTGGCTGGAAGAGCCCACCTTGAATAGCACAGAGGAAATTCCAAAGGTCTAGAGGCTTACTCCCAGGAACCAGGCACAAAGACCAAATTCTTTATTATACAATAGTGTTAAAACCCAATTCAATTATTACTTCCTCTGGAAAGTCTTTATAGACTTTCCAAGGGCTTTTGTTCATATCTCTGTTACAGTTTTTCTTTTCCCCCTCATTAGTGAACACTTTGAAGGTCCCCTGATTTTAGTCATCTTTGTATCTCTAATATTAGCACTATATCTGGCTTATAGTAGTAAGTAGGCTCAGTAAGTATTTAATGAATTAAAATATTTAAGATATAGTTCATGAGATGAGAAGTCAGTATAGAATTCTCTTATTAGGATTTTAAAGATCAAATAGAATCAATAGCTCACTTCATTCCTTCTTATTCCATTCATCACCATTTGCTCTACTTTAATATTTTTATACCTTTTTTATGTGGACATCAAATTTGCAAAAGAAAAAGAGATTTTGCTTTTTATAATAATATATCAACAGTATTTAAAGAGCAATATTTTCTAATGCATTTAAAATATACCAAATTTCTACTTATACAATTTATAGGGACTACATTATCATACAATGTAAGTATTATCATGCTGAATCTCAGAGAATCTTTGTTTCCTTCTTCTGATCTTAAGGATGAATAAGTTCTAATGTCCTCTAGTTTGTCCTGTCTGTGCATAGGTACAGAGTACTTAATAAAAATGTAATATTCCCGGGCGCCTGGGTGGCTCAGTTGGTTAAGCGACTGCCTTCGGCTCAGGTCATGATCCTGGAGTCCCGGGATCGAGTCCTACATCAGGCTCCCTGCTCAGCTGGGAGTCTTCTTCTCCTTCTGACCCTCCTCCCTCTCATACTCTCTGTCTTTCATCCTCTCTCTCGCAATTAAATAAAAAAAATCTTAAAAAAAAAAAAAAGTAATATTCCCTAAACCAGTCTGTATTAAGATTTAATATCTATATCTATCTTTCTATCTATCCATCTATGTATTATCCAAAATGTGTCTATTGGGACAGTTTCCCACTCATCTTGATTCAGAGTGCTTTTAATTCTTTTTTTAAAATGTATTTTAATATATTTATTTTCTTTTTTTAAAAGATTATTTATTTATTTATTTGAGAGAGAGAGAGACAACGAGAGAGGGAACACAAGCAGGGGGAGTGGGAGACCTGCTGAGCAGGGAACCTGATGCGGGGCTCAATCCCAGGACCCTGGGATCATGACCTGAGCCGAAGGCAGACGCTTAACGACTGAGCCACCCAGGCGCCCCTATTTATTGTTTGTTTTAAATAATGAAAATTTAAAATAGTGATACCCACAAAGCCAGTATCATTATTTAAAATGTTTAGTATAACCAGAACCTTGCTGAGAAATGTAAGATTATAAAATTCACAGTTTTTAATTCATTCATCAAATATTAATTAAACATCTAAAATATTCTAGGTACAACACTAAGCCCTGGGGACTCAAAGATTAATACAGCATGATACCTAACCTTAAGAAGCTTACAGCTTTGGGTGCCTGGGTGGCTCAGTCGCTTACAGCTTTTGGGGCAAGACACAACATTCATCAGATCACTGAACAATGTATGGGGAGGTTAAGTTAGAGATTAATGCAATGCTGTGGGGTGCTTACCAGGAGTGAGTCTAGCTTGGAGGCCTTCCTGGAGTGAAGTGGTGTCATGTGAAGGTGAGCGTACATGCTTTGCAAACTGTAAATATTATGCAAATAGAAGCAAGTATTATTGATACACATTCTTACCAAAGAGCTCCGCCTGTAGGAAAAGACAGTTAAATAGTCTGAAGTGAAAAAGGATTACTCATTTTTGCTAAGACTCATACTGCTCTTCCTTTGAATGGAGCTGCTGGGATACTACCTAGTGACTTGTGTTAAGGGAATGTCCAGAAAAAACAAACAGAAAAAAATTACTGGTGCATTTTGCATAGAATTTAACTTTTAAATCATGTGGCCCAGTGCTATACATTGTAGATATTAAATAATGTATATTCAGTGACAGTCACAAACTTAGTCATTGCTTCCAAATAGTATTAAGACCTTAATTCCATCAGGGTGCTTTTAGTTTTGCTTCCATCTGAAGGAGCATCCTTCTGTAAGCCTTGCTTTTCCTCCTATACACTGGCAAAGGACAGTGGAGAAGCCAACACACAAAACTACTGTTTGTGCATGGCTAAAGATGGTGGTGATTTTGTAGCATCCTGGACACTTCACATCCATGAAGTAGGAGTTGGGGCTCTGCATCAGGCACTTCTGTGCTTACTCTTTTCCTCCTCCGGGGATGGGTGGAGGAGGTCCTCTCAGGGGGAGGTTGTCACCACTGGAAAGCAAAAAAAAAAAACAACTTAACGTTTTTATAATTTTTATCTATGCTAGTTCTTATGAGACAGCATTTCACTGGGATATATCCTTTTTGGAGTAGTAAAGACACTAGAAATTATTTGCATGAGATTTATTTTTTCTCTGTTACACAAATTTTTTTTTTTTTTTAAAGATTTTATTTATTCTTTTTTGTCAGAGAGAGAGAGAGCACAAGCAGGGGGAGTAGCAGGCAGAGCAGGTAGAGGGAGAAGCAGACTCTCCGCCAAGCAAGGAGCCCAATGTGGGACTCGATCCCAGGACCCTGGGATCATGACCTGAGCCAAAGGCAGACGCTTAACCAACTGAGCCACCCAGGCGTCCCAAATTTTCTTTCTTTCTTTCTTTCTTTTTTTAATATTTATTTATTTATTTATTTGAGAGAGAGACAGCGAGCACATGTGGGGTGAGGGGCAGAGGGAGAAGCAGACTCCCCGCTGAGCAGGGAGCCTGATGTGCGGCTTGATCCCAGGACCCTGAGATTATGACCTGAGCCAAATGCAGATGCTTAACCGTTAGAGCCACCCAGGCACCCCTGTTACATAATTTTTCATTTGCATGAGATTTTTAAAAATGCATTACTGATTTTTATTAAGTTTCTATCTTTTTTTCATAAGCTTTAAAACACATTTTGTTTTTTAAAACAGTTTTAGATTACCAAAAAATTGAGATGATAGTACAGAGTTCTATATATACTTCCTCATCCAGTTTTCATTATTATTAACATATTAGAGTAGATTTATTTCAGTTAATGAATCAATGTTGAGACGTTATTATTAACCACTTCAAATTTTTATCTAATGTCTTTTCTTTGTCCAGGTTCCCATCCAGGACACCACATTAATTAATTAATTAATTAATTAATTAATTTTTTAAAAAAAGATTTTATTTATTTGACAGAGAGAGATACAGCGAGAGAGGGAACACAAGCAGGGGGAGTGGGAGAGGGAGAAGCAGGCTTCCCGTGGAGCAGGGAGCCCGATGTGGGGCTCGATCCCAGGACCCCGAGATCATGACCTGAGCCGAAGGCAGACGCTTAACGACTGAGCCACCCAGGCGCCCCGACACCACATTAATTTAGTAGTCATGTCTACTTAGGCTCTTCTTGGCTGTCACAGACTTTCCTTGTTTTTGATGACCGTGATAGTTTTGAGGAGTACTAGTCAAGTATTTTTAGGATGCTTCTCATTTGGAATTTGTCTGATGTTGTTCTCGTAATTAGACTGGGGTTGTGGTTTTTGGATGTGTTAACCTTAAAATAAAACAGTCTTACCGGCAAACAGTTTATTTTACCAGCAAAAATAGGTTTATTTGGGAATAACAGAGAATTGCAAAGCCATAAGCAAATCTCACAAAGGAGAGAAACATTATTTTATGGAGAAAGAGGAAGTTGGGAGGGGTTGTTTTGAACAAAAGTCCATTGGAGAAAAGCAAGAGTGTAGGATGATTTTTCATTGCCTGAGTTGCAGAGTTAGTAGATTTTTTATATGAGATGCAATGTACATCTTTCTCTGCTGGGACCTGTAGTTGATGATTCTTTTCCAGTGACAGTTCTTCAGTTGGATTTGTAATTGACAATTCCTCCTGTAATTGATATTGAGTGGTACAGCTCCGCCTTCCAGACTCCCCTTCTAACATCCAGATCCACTTTAGTGAGGTTTCCTTTTTTTAATTTTCACAGGTGGAAGATCACAGAGATACAGTGCTATTCTTATCACATCATATCAAGGGTATATATTATTGACATGATTTATCATTGTTGGTAATGACCTTAATCACCTGGCTGGGTTTGACAGGTTTCTCCGCTGAAGTTAGTCTCCCCCTTCCCGTTTCCCATGCTGTACTTTTTTTTTTTTTTTTTAAAGAGAGAGTGAGAGAGTGGGGGAGGGAGAGAGAGAATCTTAAGCTGGCTCCACGCCCAGTGCAGAGCCCAACTGGAGGCGTGATCTCACGACCCTGAGATCATGACCTGAGCTAAATCAGGAATTGGGTGCTTAACTGACTGAGCTATCCGGGTGCCCCTCCATGCTGTAGTTTTTGGAGGGAGGTCTCCATGCACTTAAGGAGTGGGATTTATGGTCTCCATCCTTGCAGGTGGAGTATTGTATAAATTATTTGGAATTCTTCTGCAAGGGAAATTTGTTCTTCTCCATTTCTTTGTTTAATCATTTCCTTAGTATCAGTATAAACTCATAAATATTTATTTTGTACTTTAGGTTATTTAACTTTTGGAAGCTCATTCAGTTAGTCTCCTCTATCCCTTTGATATACCTCTGTAAAGTTAGGATCTTTTTGTTTTTAACATTTCCTTAGTTTCTGACATTACAAGATGCTCAGCTCATTTTGTGTATTTCCTGTCCCAGTCTTGGAATCAGCCATTTCTCCAAGAAACCTGGGTTTCTTTTGTTGGAGAGTGGTGTTAGAAACTAATATCTTGTCTTTAGGTGTGCTTGTTACAACTGGGATGTCATTGATTCTAAGCATTCTCAGCTGATAGAATAAATATATGTATATATGCATACATACATATCTATAAATATTTCTAGATGTAACCATCTGTATTTTTACTAAGCTAAACACAAGTTCATATTCTAGCTCTAATCCCTTACCACATGGATCATTTTATTTAGCCTGTTCGTCCTGCTTACCTGTAATCTTCCATTCCAAAAGTGAGAAACCTTCTACCATCCACCATTCAGTTACCTAATTGTTCAGGTTCAGTAAACATGTATAGTGGTTTCAGAATTGTTAACCTGTACACCTGTGGGAAACAGCTTTATTAGCTAGAGTACAATGCTAATATGTGGTTCCCTGTGCTTTTAGTCTAACAGACTCCAGTGATTTCCAAAGTTATGTAGGTCAGTACCTTTATCCACTATCCTCTTCAGTGTTGTTGTTTCATAGTTTTGTATATTTTTATTATGGCAAATTTCAAACATATACAAAAATAAGGAGAAGAGTATAATGAACCACATGTACCCATCACCAGCCTCATGAAAATTATTAAAAACATAGTCAGTCGTGTTTTATCTGTACTCCCCCCTTACTCCCCTAGTCAACATGTGATTATTTTGAAGTAAATCCCATGGTTATTTTGAAGTAAATCCTATATATATTATTTCCTCTGTAAAATTTCCAAATGAGGCTTACCATAATTTAACCAGTCCTCTATTGACAGATAGTTTTTATCTATCTATCTATCTATCTATTTATTTATTTATTTAATCTAGCTAGCTAGCTATTTATTTTAAAAGGAGACCCTTTTTTTAAAAAAAGATTTTATTTATTTATTTGACAGAGACACAGCGAGAGAGGGAACACAGCAGGGGGAGTGGGAGAGAGAGAAGCAGGCTTCCCGCAGAGCAGGGAGCCCAATGCGGGGCTCGATCCCAGGACCCTGGGATCATGACCTGAGCCGAAGGCAGACGCTTAATGACTGAGCCACTCAGGCACCCTGATAGTTTTTATTTATTACAAGTATTGCAACTATAAATTTACATTTACATTTATCTTTGCAGTTGCAGGGTAAATTTCTAGAAGTTGAATTGCTGAAACAAAGAAGCATTTAAAATTGAGAAATACTGCCAAATTTATTTTAATACTACCAAGAGTAAGTGAGAATTTATCCTTCTCTGTACCTTCGCCTACACTGATTTTAACCAACTTTTAAATATTTGGCAATATGAGATCTGAAAAATGATCTATGTATCTTCCTTTTGCATTTCTTTAATTATAAATGGATAGGACATTTTTCCTATCTTTAGTGGTCATCTATTTTTTTCTTTCTGTGAACTATATATTTAAATTCTTTGCTTGTTTAAGAAAAGGAAATAAGTTGTCACAAAGGTCCAATTTCCTTTCCTAAACCGTTAATACTGTGCTGTCATCTCTCTCTTTTTCCTTATTCCTAGTTCAGATCACCAACTCAGGAGTGGTATTTATGTCCCTTTAATGAAGGTAAATACCTGCCCACTTTTTTTCTTCTGTCCTCTTTTCACCCACCAAAGGTTCTTAGGTCTCTGTTTTCTGTGAATCCTGGATACCGTCAGATTGTTTATTAAACAGATGTAGGGTTTTTTTCCAAGATTTTATTTATTTATTTGACAGAGAAAGAGATTGGGAGAGAGAGGGAGAGAGAGCACAAGCAGGGGGAGCAGCAGGCAGAGGGCGAGGGAGAAGCAGGCTCCCCACTGACCAGAGAGAGCCCAATGCTCTCTCCCCCAGGACCCGGGGATCATGACCTGAGCTGAAGGCAGACACTTAACTACCTGAGCCACCCAGGTGCCCCTCAAACAGATGGTTTTAGGTCAGCTTCTGAGGGAGTACTCTAGGGGAAATATGCCCAAGAAACCACAGGAAGGATTTCTACAGACATGTGGGGGCATGTTTGTAATTGTTCAGCAAAGAGTATGCCCAGAGAAGATCACTCCAGCCTGCTTTGTTCATCTGTTCTGTCTTTCCATGCAAACATAAGACATGCACTCTGACTTTTGCTGCTGTGCCCTTTTGACAGTATTTTCAGCCTTATTTTTATCAGAGTGAATTATGTCTCCATCTACTTTGGACATACATGTAATCATAGTATTATTGTTGGTTTCTTGATTTAGGGAAATGGTGATTGCAGTCTGTCCTGAATTAAATGACATCAGAGTGTAAGAATGTACTGACAGACTGATTTTCTTTGCTTATGTATTCTTTAAAAACAACTGTTCAAAATCTCATACACACAGAAATTGTTTGCCAAGCATTTGAAGCCATCTAGTTTACCAGGTGGCAGCTGCTGTTGTTTATTGGGACCTAATTTAAACCACAGACATGAAATAAAGAGTGTCCTTGTTTTTAAAAAGAGAAACTGTGATTTC